AATTTTGCGCGAACACGAATTCAAAATCCAGGGTTTTATAAGTTTAATTTTTCACCTTATATCTAGTAACATTTTCACCTTTATTTCATTCGTTTATTACTTTTCTTACTTCTAATTTTGTTTGGATTCTTTGCTTTCTTTTTGCAGGAATATTCCCTCGAATTTTGACAATAATTTTTAATATAACTTTTCGTCTTGTTAACAATTTTTAAGTTGTTGCTAAAAAAATCTTTCGCTCAAATGTATACTTTACATACGCACATCGCGTGCACCAGGAGTACTGGTACTATATAGAAGCAACCTCTTCCTCTATATGAATTTGAAAGGAATTGAGCTTCCCGGATCACGTTTTTATAATTCTAGTGGAAGCAACATGACCTTAACCCAAGACCTGCCCTTAAACTGTCCATATGAACCCTTGGGAGGGTACTGTACTACGGTAAGAAGCCGTAGCCATGCCTCCTTGTAGGTTACCATCTCCTACTTCGCACAGGAGATTCTAGGGACCTACAGGAACATAATAGACCTACTAACTTTGCTAAATACGATCTATTATCATTGATTAAACTTAGATCTTTCAAACCACAGATCACACTACTGGATTAGATTTTACCTTGTTCCTCCGTTGGTTTAGAAACCACAGCCGAGGAAGAAGAATAGCCTGCAACCTTGGATCTTCACCTCTACGATCAACCTCTGCCCTACATGTGAGTAGTGGGACTCCCGATCGTCTCCTTGAAGATCCTTCCTTCCTTGGTTCAAAACCACCAAAGAAAAAACTCCCTCTCTCCTGTCCTTTTTTTATTCTTTGAAAAATAATCAAGTCACGTATCTTTTCAGGAGAAGGGAGGCGATATATATAACTTTGGTGCCAGGAGATCTCATTGGATCTTTTTTCTAGAATTTTGGGATACACGGTTTTAACAGATTTGATCTCAAATGATGAGTTCAAAAAAAGAAAAGAAAACTGAAACGTACTTTGATTTGGATTTGTTTAATCAAATCCTTATCTTATCATGAGGACCACTATTGGATCCAGCCCAATAGACATCATGACCTGTATCAGCCCAAAAAACAATTATGATTATCTATTGGATCCAATCCAACAATCACAATCCCATAATATATATATCTACAATAAAGATCTCATTTAAAACAATCACTGTGGATAGAACATTGACCTAGAGGTGGGACACCTAGGATCTTCTGTTATCAGCTCCAACTGATGCTAGTGTCTCTGTTATCTCATAACGTACTGTACTAGCCCAATTAACAAAACACTGACTCCACTAAAGAGTGTTTGCTGAACTCTGACAGTAGAAGAAAAATGCTTACACAAGCCTAGACCTGATATATGTGTATTTATGAATGTACCCCTCTACCAAAATATCCATAAGAGAACATGAGATAAGATCTGTCAACCTATTCAATTACCTATTATCCTTGATTCATGATTAGATCCTCTGATATGCTTCTACTCTAACTCGAGTAGCTGTACAGGTTTCAGCAATCAGACTGCCAATCAACTCAAGGGGATATACTCAAATAACTGAGGGTAGATTCCATCTTGACATAGGAGTTCGCAATACCTTGAACCTGGAAACCCAACGTACCGAGGTGTTGACCATCTAAGAGTCTCACTCATTGGCACATCAAAGCATCCTAAGTCCAAAGCTTGAGTCCTACCATATGTCTCAGGATTAAGAGTTATTTCATCCACATCAGGGAATAAGATTATCCGTGTTTGATGTCGACAGAGTTTTGGTCAAATACAATCTTATGTCCATCATTGTACACGATAGCTCTGTGGTATACAACAGTATATTAGTCATGAGAACTTCCTTCTCACATGGTTGAGATCCACCATCCAGTTAAGGTGCTAACCATACTACAATCATGACCTAACAGGTAGCCCATTCCTCTTAGTGACTGTGATACTCTAAGATGATTGTACATCTCTGATTATGATCTCCCTTGAGTATCTCCATACCCAACATAATCAAGATCAACCATCTGGGGAAAATCAGCATATCTATAATACTCAGAATATAGAACAAAGTAATATGCAAATTTATGTCATCATAAATCAGATACAAGTGTTTCAGTATGAAAAAACTGGTTTGAGGGCACACAAAACCCAACAAACTCCCACTTGCACTCACAACCAATCACTCATACGCCTCACACCTAGCTTGTCCATATGTATATCGAAATCCTTTGCTGGTAAGGCTTTAGTGAATGGATCCGCTAAGTTCTGTGAAGAATCAATCTTGGTCACGACTATGTCTCCTCTAGCCTCAATCTCTCTGACAAGATGAAACTTCCTCTCTATGTGTATTAAGCCTTTAATGTATCTTGGCTCCTTGGAGTTTGCCACAGCCCCACTGTTGTCACAAAAGAGTACAATAGGCCTCACTACATCTGGTACAACTCCCAGCTCTATGAGGAACTTCCTCAGCCAAGCCGCTTCCTTCGAAGCCTCTGAAACTGCCACGTATTCTTCTTCTGTAGTAGAATCAGCCACGCATTTCTGCTTGACACTCATCCAGCTAACCGCACCACCACCTAGAGTGAATGCATAGCCAGATGTCGATCTCCTTGAATCCTTATCTGACATGAAGTCAGAATCCGTATAACTATACGGTATTAGATCCTCTCCGCCGAAAACCAGCATATAATCCGTAGTCCTTTTCAGGTACTTGATTATGTGCTTAACGGATGTCCAGTGAGCTGGACCTGGATCTGCTTGATATCTGCTGACCATGGCAACAGCAAAACAGATATCGGGTCGCGTGCATAGCATGGCATACATGAGACTTCCTATTGCCGAAGCATAAGGAATCCCTCTCATGTATTCTCTTTCCTTTGGTGTCTGAGGACACTGATCCTTGGAAAGGGCTACTCCATGTCTAAAAGGTAAGGAACCTTTCTTAGAATTTGCCATACTAAAACGATCTAGTATCTTATCTATGTAAGATGTCTGGGATAAGCCTATCATTCTATTACGTCGATTCCGATGTAATTTGATGCCTAGAATGTAACTGGCTTCTCCTAAATCTTTCATATCAAAGTTACTACCCAACCAAACTTTTACCGTAGAGAGTGCACCAATGTCGCTTCCAATAAGCAACATTTCATCTACGTAAAGTATCAAGAAGACAACCGACTTACCTTCACCTCTCTTATAAACACAAGGCTCCTCCACGTTTTGATCAAATCCAAAAGATTTTATAGCCTGGTCAAATCTGTGGTTCCAGCTCCGTGAAGCTTGCTTCAATCCATAAATGGATTTCTGCAACTTGCAGACCTTGCTATTCTGACCTTTAGCTATGAAACCCTCTGGCTGCTCCATATAGATGTCCTCGTCAAGATATCCATTTAAGAATGCTGTCTTAACGTCCATCTACCATATCTCATAATCGAGATGTGCGGCTATGGATAAAAGAATTTGGAATGACTTGATCATGGCAACCGGGGAGAAGGTCTCCTCGTAGTCAATACCCTCTTGCTGAGAGTATCCCTTAGCCACAAGTCTAGCCTTATAGGCTTCTACAAGTCCATCTGAATTCCTTTTTCTCTTGTAGATCCACTTGCACCCAATGGGACGAACATTGGGAGGCAAGTCTACAAGCTCCCAGACCTGATTGGAATACATAGATCCCATCTCAGCTTTCATAGCATTTTGCCACAAGCAAGAGTCTACATCTGTCATTGCCTCTTCGTATCTAGTGGGATCCTCTCTTATAGTTTCTGAGACAGCCTCAAAAACTTCACCTAGATACATGTACCTATATCTATATGGTGCCCCGGTAGATCTCCCACTACGCCGAGGCATCTGACTTGAGACTGGTATAGGTAACGTAGGTGTTTCTAAAACAGGTTGATTTTCTTGTTGAATTGGATCACTGGGAATATCTTTAGATATTTCTTCCAACTTAAAATCTCTACATCCCTTAGTTACCATATAATCCTCTTCTAAGAACACAACATGAGTACTAATCACAATGGTATGTTCTTTAGGATCATAAAACTGATATCCCTTTGTACCCTTAGGATAACCAACAAAATATACTAACTTAGTTCTAGCTTCTAACTTATCTGGATTTCCTTTCAACACATGTGCTGGACAACCCCAGATCCTGATATGAGATAAGCTGGGCTTTCGCCCTATCCATAATTCACGTGGGGTTGAAGGAACAGATTTAGAAGGCACTAAATTTAGTAGATATGTTGTGGTTTCTAAGGCATAACCCCAAAGGGAAGTATGTAGTTCTGAATAACTGATCATCGATCTAATCATTTCCAAAAGAGTTATGTTCCTCCTTTCAGCCACACCATTCTGTTGTGGTGTCCCTGGTGCAGCTAGCTGGGATGTGATCCCGGTATGCGCTAAGTACTCAATGAACTCATTAGAGAGGTACTCACCTCCTCGATCTGATCGAAGAGATTTTATACTTCTATCTAGTTGCTTTTCTACCTCAGCCTTAAACACTTTGAAGCGATCAAAGGTCTCAGATTTATGGCGCAACATGTAAGTATAACCATATCGGGAGTAGTCAACAATGAAGGTGACAAAATACCGATATCCCTCTCTAGCTTTGATGCTCATAGGACCACATACATCTGTGTGTACTAAGTCTAGTAATCCTTGTGCCCTATTACCCTTTGAGGAGAAGGGTCTCTTGCTCATCTTACCCTCTAAACAAGATTGACAAACTGAGATGGGTTCAACTTCAAAAGAAGGTAGAAGCCCACTCTGAACCAGTCTGTTAATTCTTTTTAGATTAATGTGACCAAGCCTTAGGTGCCACAACTTACTAGAGTTATAAGGAGGAATCTTTCTTTTTTTAGTCAATGATTTATTAACAATCTCAGAATTTTGAATTTCAAGCACAGTGGGATGAATAAAATATAAACCATTAGACAGATTTCCAGAACAAATAAAACTCCCATTAATTTTGATAACCACATTCTGTCCAAACACATAAGTATAACCAAGCAATGCTAAACTAGGAACAGAAATCAAGTTCCGCCTTATATTTGGCACATATAAGGCATTATTCAAAATTAAAACATTATTGTTCTGGAAAGCTAGTCTAACGACTCCCACTGCAACTGCTGATACTTTGGCCTCCGACCCCAGACTAAGACTGATCTCACCATCCTCAAGCTGTCTGCTCACCTGAAACCCCTGCAATGAATTGCAGATATGGTGAGTTGCAGCTGAGTCTATGCACCAAGTATTAGAAGCATCCGCTATAAAGCTTACTTCAATAACTTGTATTTCAGTTTTACCTGTCTGTTTCTTGGCAAGAACCTTGGGACAGTTCCGTTTCCAATGGCCAGTTTCCCCACATTGGAAACACTTTCCTTTTCCTGCCTTGCTAGGTTTGGCCTTGCCCTTCACCTTCCCGACACCACCAGTAGGTCCCTGTTTAGCCTTCGGAGACTTGGATTTCTTCTTCCAGTTCTGCTTCTGCTTGTTAGGCACAGACTTAGAAGAAATCTTCTCCTTGTTTTGCAAAGATGGGGTGGGCTTTATAATAGCCTCAGTTGCCTGTAGTGCGCCCATAAGCTCACTTAGGGAGTAGTCTTTATGATTCAAAACATAGTCTAGCTTGAACTGGTCATAAGACTTCGGCAACGACTCAAGGATCATATCTATCTGAGATTCACCATGAATCTCTGCCCCTAGGATCTCTAGTGTATTCAAATGGTCAAACATCTTAAGCAGGTGATCCTGCACTGGAGTTCCCTCTGTCATCTTTGCCTTAAGAAAATCCCGCATAGCCCTCTGCCTTGCTAGGCGACTTTGCGATACGAACATTTCTTTAAGGTTAAACAGAATATCACTAGAAACAGTAAAGTACTGATGTTGGTGTTGTAGTACATTTGACATAGATGCCAAAATGTAGCACTTGGCCATGTCATTAGCTTTGACCCACTTTTCAAACTTCTCCTTATCCTCCTGGGAGGAGTTCGGATCAGGTTCTGATGGTTTAGGAGTGGTTAGACCAAACTTGTACCCCTCAGCAGTTAGGACAATATCTAAATTTCTCTTCCAGTCAACATAATTCTGTCCGTTTAGTTTGTTTTGGTTCAAAATTGTAGAAAGCGGGTTGAATGAGGATGAAGACATACTGAAATAAAACATAAAACTGTATATTAATTTAACTTGCATTTAACAATTTTATTGATCACAAAAAATCCAATAAAAGTGATTTAAATATAAATGCATCAGATATATAATTGTACAACAACACGCCTCCTTGGGGAGGTCAAATGCCAAGCACAACTATAGGGTGGTTCCATCATAAACTCTAATCCGTGCATCTCATACACTTAGAGTTATAACTTCTGATATAGCTTTAGTCTCCAAACATTTTATTAATTCCCTTGGGGTTCCTTAATAAAAGTTTGGGTCAAGTGTATGCCATTGTCTAGTGTCATCGATATCCACTTCAAGTAGAGGCTACTTGGGTAGTCCTCTCTCTAATGCGTCTCGATGACCCTATCCGAAGAAGTCCCTCCTGCCAACAGCATGAATGTCACACTCCTAATGGATCTGCCACCTTAAACGGCTGGCTTCGACGTGACACACATGCCTAACAGAGGACCTAACAATGGAAGACCGTAGGGCTAACTGAGTTTAGACCCCTCACCCACTAGATCTTGTTATTTGGATTTTTAACATGCATATCCAATTTTAAAATTAAAATAACTACGCATGAAAATAGATATCTAATATCTAAAACAACCATGCATAATAAGATATCAAATATCATAATAAAATCACAGAAAAGAACTAAGCCCTTTTCTCCCATGATCTTTTATTAACTTCTTCGTGGTTGACGCCTTTGCTCCTTGCATGGTTCTGCTGTAAGTGATGGACTCCATCTCGCCAAGTATCACAATAGACTTGCCACCAGAAAAAAAAATCTAGAAAATCTATGAGTACATTTGATTCTATACCCCGTCAGGAGGTGTACATTTGATCTAATCAAAAGCAATAAATAAATAAACTGGGGATCCACTGCATGCCCACTACCAGGAAACCATGCAACGCCCAAAATTATTACATTGCATCACAGGCACATTAAATACATTTTTATATGCAAGCACAGAGAACCATGGGAGAAAAGTGCTATCTTATCTCTGCAAAACAAATGTTAGCTGAGTTCTAAACTTCTTTGCATGTTATTCCAACCTTGCATAAACAATATCACATGATAACAAATCATTATAATATTGTCTAATATCAAAAACATTGTTTTAGTGAAAACTACATAGTCCCTATGCAAGGAAGACCCCTGCAGAACTTGGCCGAGGCCCTGGTTCTTTGGCCATACGGCTGTCCGATCGTCAGGACGACTACCCAGCCGTCTGGCCTAGGAGCTCGGTCCCCTGCTTCGTGCAGGGGGCTCCAGAACCCTTGGGGACTCCATATATACAGGAGGTTTTGGGATCCCTTACTGTATGGTCTTTGATTGCATCCCGACGTTTAAAGATCGTGCAATCTGAATCACAAAAAATGTTTTATCTTGATATAAATATTATTATTTGCTTCAACTCTGATTACTATCATATGAAACCTATTGATATGCTTGGAACAACTATCAATTGATAAACATGTTAAAGTTAGTCATTAAAACGCGGGCTCTGATACCAATTGAAAGGAATTAAGCTTCCCGGATCACGTTTTTATAATTCTAGCAGAAGCAACGTGACCTTAACCCAAGACCTGCCCTTAAACTGTCCATATGAACCCTTGGGAGGGTACTGTACTACGGTAAGAAGCCGTAGCCATGCCTCCTTGTAGGTTACCATCTCCTGCTTCGCACAGGAGATTCCAGGGACCTATAGGAACATAATAGACCTACTAACTTTGCTAAACACGATCTATTATCATTGATTAAACTTAGATCTTTCAAACCACAGATTACACTACTGGATTAGATTTTACCTTGTTCCTCCGTTGGTTTAGAAACCACAGCCGATCGAGGAAGAAGAATAGCCTGCAACCTTGGATCTTCACCTCTACGATCAACCTCTGCCCTCCACGTGAGTAGTGGGACTCCCGATCGTCTCCTTGAAGATCCTTCCTTCCTTGGTTCAAAACCACCAAAGAAAACTTGAAGATCCTTCCTTCCTTGGTTCAAAACCACCAAAGAAAAAACTCCCTCTCTCCTGTCCTTTTTTTTTATTCTTTGAAAAATAATCAAGTCACGTATCTTTTCAGGAGAAGGGAGGCGATATATATAACTTTGGTGCCAGGAGATCTTATTGGATCTTTTTTCTAGAATTTTGGGATACACGGTTTCAACAGATTTGATCTCAAATGATGAGTTCAAAAAAAGAAAAGAAAACTGAAACGTACTTTGATTTGGATTTGTTTAATCAAATCCTTATCCTATCATGAGGACCACTATTGGATCCAGCCCAATAGACATCATGACCTGTATCAGCCCAAAAAACAATTATGATTATCTATTGGATCCAATCCAACAATCACAATCCCATAATATATATATCTACAATAAAGATCTCATTTAAAACAATCACTGTGGATAGAACATTGACCTAGAGGTGGGACACCTAGGATCTTCTGTTATCAGCTCCAACTGATGCTAGTGTCTCTGTTATCTCATAACGTACTGTACTAGCCCAATTAACAAAACACTGACTCCACTAAAGAGTGTTTGCTGAACTCTGACAGTAGAAGAAAAATGCTTACACAAGCCTAGACCTGATATATGTGTATTTATGAATGTACCCCTCTACCAAAATATCCATAAGAGAACATGAGATAAGATCTGTCAACCTATTCAATTACCTATTATCCTTGATTCATGATTAGATCCTCTGATATGCTTCTACTCTAACTCGAGTAGCTGTACAGGTTTCAGCAATCAGACTGCCAATCAACTCAAGGGGATATACTCAAATAACTGAGGGTAGATTCCATCTTGACATAGGAGTTCGCAATACCTCGAACCTGGAAACCCAACGTACTGAGGTGTTGACCATCTAAGAGTCTCACTCATTGGCACATCAAAGCATCCTAAGTCCAAAGCTTGAGTCCTACCATATGTCTCAGGATTAAGAGTTATTTCATCCACATCAGGGAATAAGATTATCCGTGATTGATGTCGACAAAGTTTTGGTCAAATACAATCTTATGTCCATCATTGTACACGATAGCTCTGTGGTATACAACAGTATATTAGCCATGAGAACTTCCTTCTCACATGGTTGAGATCCACCATCCAGTTAAGGTGCTAACCATACTACAATCATGACCTAACAGGTAGCCCATTCCTGTTAGTGACTGTGATACTCTAAGATGATTGTACATCTCTGATTATGATCTCCCTTGAGTATCTCCATACCCAACATAATCAAGATCAACCATCTGGGAAAATCAGCATATCTATAATACTCAGAATATAGAACAAAGTAATATGCAAATTTATGTCATCATAAATCAGATACAAGTGTTTCAGTATGAAAAAACTGGTTTGAGGGCACACAAAACCCAACAGAATTAACTCATTTATTATTCTTTCCTTAGTATAATCCATTAGTCACTTGCAACATTCTCATTGTTACTATACTCATTTTTGACATGTGTTGTTCTTTTATTACCCAGTGTTTTGATTCACAAAACATTACAGGTCTTGCAACTGTCCTGTAAAAACTTTCATCTTATAAATTGTCTATATAAATTGTCTCTACAGATTACTTACATATATACATATGTTTCTTGTTATTGCTGGACTCAGCCAAGGGCCACTAAGAAAAAATATAGGCTTCAAGGTCTAAGAGGAGGCCACGACAACAAAATATAAGCTTTTAGGCCTAAAAGGATGCCACGACAAGTAAAGCATTACAAAGTCCCCCGGCCTTTGTTAACTGGTGTTTATTAAAAAAAAAACAAGGGGTTTTTGCATATATACCTCTCAAAAATATTTGCAAAATTATTAATCAATTCTCTTACATCAGAAACTTCTACCCCTCAATTATAACGATGCATATTATGAACAGTTAGTGAAAGAATTTCTAGTTTTACCAATGCCTATCAGTTCCCAATGTAGCCCATAACCTCTTTCTTCTGAGTAACAAACACAAACAATTACGAGAATACTATCGATGTTGGATGAGGAGGAAAGTCGGTATGAGAGGTTTGAGGTTGAGCCTAGATGGGATTTCATTGCGGCAGGCGTTATCGAGGTTTGAAGAGGTAACTTAGGATTGAGATTTGATAATTTTGGTGGAGGAGCAGAAGTTGTGGACCACTTGAGGAGTTGGGTGAAAATAAGAAGGGAGATATGGAGGACTTTGAGGAAACATAAATCAGCAGGTTAATGAGATATCTTTATATTCCAACCAAGGTTTAATGACAATATTGGCTTGTAATATATTTGATTTCAGTTTGTCCGAGGATAATGAGTCCTTCGATTTTTTATGCTTTTTTCTTACCAAAGTCATATCAGTCTATCTTCGTCACTCTGTGGTGTTTGTAGTTAACTAACAAAGAGTGCAGTAGGCATCGTTAGAAAATTGTAATCAAACTAACAAAATTTTGGGAAATTTATCAAGCATATTCTCTAACATCATAAGTGGAAGGCAGAAATTTTCAACGTAAGAGATTTGGGGTAAATTTGCAAGTATCAGTATCCAGACAGTATGTTAGAAAATATTGAAGGTTTTAGGGATATATATGCAAAATACCTAATAAAATAAATAATTAGCATACGATGAATTTCATCAGAAGTAGGTGCAGGTTGGTTTCTCTTCTCACAAGTTAACCCAACCCAACAAAGACCAAGAGACCGAGGCTCCGATCAAAAATTTCCTCTTCCCTTCTCAAGTTCTATTCTCAAACTTTGAGAAAGGTAAACTACGTAAAAGTTTGATTCCCTCTCCTTAAATTTGCCCTCTTCTTTCCTCGAATTTTTTAAAAAAATTGATTTATTTTTATTATTCAGGGTAATCGCTTGCCATGGAGATCTCTCCAGAATCCACAACAACCCTCTGCTCTCACTGGTAAATCCTCTTTCTCAGTTTACATGATTCTTGAGATCTAAACATAAGATTCAATTGAAGACATCTCTATGATTATTGTTGCTAGATGTTGCTAGAACTAGAAGTGTATAATCTCGGTATTGCTTTTCTATGTTTAATGTTAGAATTTAGGTTGAAGAAGTGGCGTCTGTTTGAAAGTGCACATGTTTGTGAAGTTTGAGACTTGCTTATTTGGTGAAGTTACAATGCTTGTATCATGTTGTATCTTGTCTGAGTACATGTAAACATAAGGAGATATGCCTTCTTTAAAAACTTTTTGAAAGTGATACTGATGAAGCAATCTATTAGATGATTTGACTAATCCAAATATCACCCTAGAATTTTCATCTTCTGCAGAAGAAACAATAAACTTTGTTCGTAAGTCTTTTGAGGATAGGCCACTTAATTCTCAGCTTCAATTTAGCTCTATTAAGGCCAAAGGATTATTTGGGTATTGCTTCTTTAGGATGCTTCGGCTTATTTATATAAGAAGCAGTTAATAATGGTGTTAGGTAAAAAATTTTTGTTGCATGTTTATTATAAAAACATCTTCTTTTAAGAGGGTGCTTTTAGAAGCAACTTGATAAAGTATATCAACTCAACAATATAAATAATTAAAAGAAGAACATAAAGAAGATAAAAAAAAGATCTCAACAAAATATAAAGAACATAAAGAACATAAAGAGGATGTTTTTAAAAGCAGCTTCTGCTTTTTATAGTTTACATACCATACATATACCCTTCAAATTTTTACAAAGTTTTTTTAATTAACAATAAATATGAAGCTAAATGTATTTTGGTCATTTCACATATAAAGATCTTTAAGCTTAGATCTACTAAACACCTTAATTGCTTTGGAAGCTGCTTTTGATATATGATTACCAAATGACTATTTTAGTGGCTTATTTAAGTTATTTCTATAAGTTGCTTATATAGGCGACTTATTATAAGCTCTAGCAATATCAAATTGGCCCAAAGTCAGCAGTTAAATTTAACATTTGTGATATCCTTGCCTCGATCCAAATTTTAATAGGCATACCTCTTGGTATAATAAATTTTACACAACTCTAAGCAGTTATGGGTCTCAAACTAGCTCGTAAGCGCTCTTGTTTTAAACTTCAAATTTTGTTTAAAAACATAAAACTAATTATGAAGATAATTTTGTTGAAGGGAAGGAAATTGTAATACAACTTCAAGTAGAGGAAAAGGCGGAGAAGATACCTTTTTGGTTCAAATAGAAAAAAAAAACTTAATTAACATCAATAAAAAAATACAGCAAGAAACACTCTGTTGCCTATTTTTACATGAGAAAGTAGAAGTCTCATCAAAGATGATTTGATAGGACATTGTAGGGTGAAATGGCGGTGAATCTGTGGTGATGTGAGTAAGATTTACGGTTGCTTGGTGAGAGAAAGGGGTGGCTAAGGCAAATCCCGAGGAGGTGCCATTTTGAGAGAGGGATGTATAAAATTAGGTTTTTTGGTTGGGTTTAGGTTTCAGTTTAATGGGTTAATGAGTGTTTATGTTTAACAAGTTGGCTTTGGGTTTAAGTTTAACAAATTATATTTTAGGTTAAATTTAATAAGTTTTTTATTTATTTTGCAAGCCATCCCGGCCTATGCTCTGCATATAGGGTTCAAGGTAGCCCAGGAACTGGACCCAATTTTGTTTTAAAAGCGGTCTGAGCTTTTGCCTAGGAACCTGTCTAGGCTTAAGCGAAACTTAGGCTGTCCGCTTAGGCCTTGAAAGCACCTAGGGAATCATGGGCCGCTAATGCAGACTACACGATATCAAAAAGGGTATAATTTCTCGCTTAAGCATAGTAATAGTTAAAAAGAATGAGGCATGTCAAAAAGGATTAGATTAAAATTTTATATGGAAGTTCATCTTAGGTAGACAAGAAGGACAGAATTTTGAATCTTTGAAAAGAATCCTTACTCTCTTGAGGCTAAAAATGCAGACATGCCGTTTAAGCGTCCGCCTAGATGCTTGAGTGTTCGGCACTTGGTTTGACGCATAGAAGCACCTAGCACTTTCTAAAATATGTCGCTGCCGGCCTAGGTGGGCTGCCCCCTTTTAGAATATACTTCTAATTTCTATATTAACTGCAATTGTTACTTCTTCTAATTGGTTGATTTACTGAATAACATTTATTAATTTACTGCATATGCCTATAGTCTATTAGTATATCTCCCTTATTTGTTTGTTCATGTTTTGTTTAGTAAGAGTAAACAATAATGCATTGTTTGGGTCGTGGGAATGAGTAGGAAAGGAATGTCAATTCTGACTCCTCATTCATTCATCTCAAACATGATGTGTTTTTGAAAGTTAGAAATCTCATTTCCGCTCACATTAATTCTCACATTTTATGGGAATTATCATTCTTAATGAGTTGCCAGATAATGGGCATTCCCACTTAAGTGAGAATAAAAAAATATGTAACTTCCAAAAAATGCATATTTCATTCTCTAATTCAACCAGATGTGAGAATGAGAATGAGCATTTCATTTCCATATTTATTCCATTTCATTCGTCGTGTCATTCTATTCTCACTTCACCCGATTCACGTATACCACATGAGGCATAACATCTTATAAATGCACTAAACTTTTAAACTTTTATATTATCCCAGACTTTCTCTTCCTTTGACAATCCTTCATGTGTAGCTGAGATTTACTGTTCTGTTGCCACGTTCTCTTGTTTGTCATATGATTTTGCTGGGTTTTACTTGGGAAGGTTTCACCTGCTTTCATGTTTCAAATACACATAGTTCATGGTATTGAGCATCCACAATGTCTTTGTGAGAAGTTTGGATTGTAGAAAATTCCCTTTGCAATGATTTTTGTTCCTCATTTATGTTACATTATGTTCTTTCTTGAGATTCCTCAAGTTGGGTTTTAGATATTGTGATTTGCGATGTCTCATCTAGAAATTGGTTCTTGCAAGGCTTCAGTACCTTATGTTTTTCAGCTGTGGAATTTTATGAGATAGGGCTATTGTATTCTACTATTTGCTTACTATGGTTTTGTTATGTTTATGAATATTTTTCACTGTAAGTCAAAATGTAATCAAATTTCTATAGATATCCTTGGAACTCCAAAACCCAGTAGTAGACAAGGCTACTCTTTGTACTAAAAGAGTCATCTTTTAACTGTTGCAAGCGTCACAATATATATGTAGGTAGATATCGTAATTGACTCTATTGCAACATTCTCTATAAGGTTTAATAGACGCCTTAAGGAAGTGATGTACTCTGGTTACTATTGTATGTTCTTGCCATAAAGAAAAGGTTTTAAGAGCATAGTACATAAAACTATTTTGACAAAAATATAGTTTACAGCTAACAGGAGCAGTGCACATGAAATATCAATTTAACAGTATGGTCTGACTTTCTATCTCGTGTACGGTGAATAGTGGTGAATGTCCTCCTTGGATATTAAAGTAACAAAATTTAAGTTACCTACATAGATAATGGGTCTTGAAAGGTCCATGTTCATGCCTTGTGTAACAGGTCAATAAACACTTGAAATATGAAAGAATTATAGACTAGGAAGATACTTCACACTCGGACATGCTTTCTTACATGTCAGGTAGCATGTTTAGTATTTGACCATGATGAGCTCATTATTGTCAAGATCATCATCATTTAGCATCAAATTTTTACGTGTAAACTAGGAAACAAGGTTTAAACCTCTCATAAAAAAGTTGACCAAGTTTTAAAATCAGCTGCTATCTCAAATCATCTCTGAATCTGTACAACTTTATTCCTAAGAGTACTTACAAACAAGAGATTGATGACAACCAGTTGGGTCAGTAAATTTACAACCGTCGCAGTTGGTCTAATGTATTTTCTGACTGATTCTATTCACATTTTCCTTTGTGAATAAAACCATTAGCATCAATGTTTTAAAAATCAGGAACCTAGCCTGCTTAGGTGCCCGCCTAGGCATAAGCAGGAACCTAGACCAGACGCCTAGCTCTTGGAAGCGTCTAGGGAATGGGCCTCTTATGCCGACTACACCATCTAGGTCTCAATCGTGTTTGTCTCATCTGTAGCTCCATGTCTACCAACAACCTCCGAACTCTTCTAGTCTCGTCCATTTACTATGGACACTTTCACCTCCTCTTTACTTCTAGAAAACCATCCACCACCACTTAAAGAAAGAAAAAAATATGCTTAGGCTCTAGGCGTCAGGTCTGACGTCTCGGTTGCCTAGCGCTTTCCATAACCTTGATTGGCATGCAAAAGAACTATATATGAAGATCCAAGTTAAACTTGAATAGAATTGGCAACAGGAAGAAGTTCTCTCATGCTACTAACCAAAAGACCTAACAAATTACTCTTAACGTTCATTTGAAGATATAACATAAATATGGTTTATTCATGAAGAAGTACTATGGTCAGTGATGTAAAACTCTATGATAGCATCTTAACAGATTATAACTAATAATAACTTCATTAATAATATTATTAGCGGGCATATTTTGTTCTTACTAGTTTATAAATGAGTTCCCTAGCCTCAGGAATTTCAGATTATGAGAAATACATTAGTCCAACTAAGTTGGTATTAATTTGTGATTTTTGATGTTACATGTGTAAAAGTTAGTTTGTTTCGCTAGTCATGATTGTTTCGCTAGTCATGAATAGCCCTCATGACAATTTCTTTTACTTTACGAGCATACAATGATCCAACTAAGCTGGTGTTTATTTGGATAATTTTTTAGCACATACATCATATATGTAAAAGTTCATTTGTCTATCTAGTTAGAAGAAGACCTGAGACAGTTGCATTTCTTTTAATGAAGGAAGATGATTTGTTAGCTTAACCATTGTTTAGTAAGTGTATGCATCAATGCCACCATGTATACTTAAGGTTGAACATATCAACTATTACCATTTAGGTGCCGCTTTGACATGATTAGAGTAATTTCATTTGGACGCTTACTTCAAACTAATTAGTATATTTTCCATACCTATGCTATAGATTAAGAAAGCCATCATTTTGGTCATTATGAGCCACACTTTTCGAATTCCAAAAATGCCCTCACATCTGAAGAAATTAATTCTAAATTTGTTCACACTGAAAAAATCAACAATAATGCTCTCACACTTAACAAAATCAAAGGGAATATCTTTGCACTTGGATAAATCACAAAATGGTTTAAAACTTGGAAAAAACAATGAAAATAAACTCAAAATCATATCTATATGTTTTCTTTACAATTTGATTATAACATTTCCCCCACGTTTTATGTCATGCATGCATCACATCCACTGGAGTACTAGTATATAACCAGAACTATCTTTGGGCCAATCTTTCGAGACAATCTGAATGTTTTTTTTAAGTTACAGATTGTGTTTCAGTGTGACAATTCTGAATATTACCCTTGAAGTGCTGTTGTTAACAATATGAAAAGACTGGTTCCTGCATGTTGTCATTGTTTTATTTCTTTTTTTTTCACAATATTCATTGTAACTTTTATCATCCTTTTTTGCGAAACTGATGCCTTCGTTTTTCTTTTTGCATGCAGTGAGAGAGATATTCCTAGTTCAAACATCGACCTACATTATGTGCATTGTTCTCGCAATCTGCAAAAGTGCACAATATGCAGAGAAATGGTTCCAAAAAAGCATTCCAATGAGCATTATAATGAAGCTCATGCTCCAGTATGTTTTCATCAAGTTACATGTATTAGCTGTGTTAATCTTTTTCAATACAGTAGACAATTTCCAATCCTTTATCAAATATGCCATGGTAATTATTTCGACATGTAGTCCATTTGGTGTTTTCCATGTCAATATTTTCTTGGTAAAGTAGTTGGATCCTTCTGCCTAATGGGAAGGAGGTTGACGGAGGATTGTGTATAGATCATTTGCTCCAAGAACATTGTGTCAGATACTTCAGATGAATTCTTCAGATAATATATGACAACAAGAGTGAAAGTTAAAGGAGCCAGATGTTGTAACCCCTGGTGTCTTTCTTTGTGGAACATGATACATTAGGTTTGATTTAATCTATCTTGTAAGTTCTGTTTGATAGGTAATATAATTTTACAGCCATAGATGTATCTGTATCCTTCTAAGGCTAAGGAGATTAATGGTGGAGGTTGAACAGATCTTATGCTTAAAAACATGATAGGAGATACCTGATAGGAAATTTTTTAGTTTCACTCATGTTCTGTATTTATATCAACCAGTATTATATATTGTATAATAGAATAGGACTGTGGAAGTCAAATGAGAAATTATATCTATACCTTATCTACCCTCAGGTTCGTAAAACTGTAGGTTTGATTTTATCTTCTCTTTTTAGTTCTTCTTGACAGGTAAAAACACGATATCTCTTCTCCTATCTTATCATTGTTATTAACTACTCCAGTAAAATAAATTTACAGTATTCACTAAAACTTTATTGCAACTTTCAACACAGGAAATTTGGAAGACATGATAGACTATTTCTCTTTTTGCGACCTTGGACAATTTTCTTTCTGTTTGAACCTACATGATTGGTGAGAGTGCTAGCAAGAACTTAGAACTCAGAAGGCTAATTCTAAACTGAAGAAGGCAATGAGTAGAAGTATGCTAGGACAAATGCTTTGGAATTAGTATAGTTCGTGCCAGAAAAGAGCTGCAAGGAAGAATATGCAGGAAATGTGGTATCAGATTGCGAAGGATTAGTAATAATGGTTATTTAGTCTGCTTGCCAAATGAATACTTGTTTTCTGTAATCTTTTTTCCTTAGCTTATATTATCAACCTTAGGAGTTTAAGTATTCCGAACATATCCAAAGTGCTTATTCTTTTAAAGTTGAAGGGGTTGTTGTAGACCATGTTGGCCCTAGTAGAAGATAATTATATCACATTAGTAGAATAATTTTGTTTTGGATAATAATTTCAGAAAATGATCCTTTTATGTTTTAAGTAATATACATCACTTAGAGATTCAATTTTAGTTTAGTTATATATTAATTTTTATATCAATGGAAATCCCATCAACGGATCCAGCAGATCAAGCAGCAAGTTCTTTTATGGATGAGGATTTAGTTATTGTACAATTTTTAGTAAGGACTTCCTATATGCATATGATTGTGCACCGACACATGTGCAAGGGCGAATGCACATGGGGGCCAAGCGGGCCTGGCCTCCCTGGCAATTAGAGAAAAAGAGAGGGAATATTAGTAATTGTAAATTCTCAAATGATGGGGGCTAAAGGATAAAAAGCCCTAGCAACTAAAACAGAAACTCTTCGTGAGTTTCTTTCTAATAGAATTTTTTTCCTTACGTGTAGATCATGATTGCCCCTCCGCTTGAAGCTTTGAACGAACAACGGTGTTTACTCATCCTTCCAATCCTAATCCTGATTAGTTTTCTAACTTTTCCTCCATATTGATCGTTTTAGTTTTTAGGTATTGATTTGTGTAGGATTTTAGGGTTTTAGGATTTCTAATTTTTTTTCTCTTTGGATTTGTTTAGAATTTAGGGTTTGGTTTTAATTATTTCTTTATGGACACTTCTACTGAAGCATAATCACTCAGTTCCTACGTCCTAATAAAGCTAAAGTATGAATATATGGTGTCTATCTCAATAAAAGTATAATCATCCAATTTCTAATTGCTAATTCCTAAATAATAGCAAATAAAACATTATCTAAGTATCTGTCACTAAAAGCTAAAGAGAAATGTCTTAATTATCTTTGTGTGGATTATATCAGTTGGTGTACAAGTTTAGTTGAATGGAAAATAGATACTTTATATCCATAGGTGTACGAATTGGTAAAGTTGGCGCTAATTATGCCTATTGAAACAACAATTGTTGAAAGAACATTTTCGGCAATAAAAATTATTAAGCATTACTTATGAAATCGAATGGGAGATGAGTATATGAATGATTGTTTGGTGCCTTTTTTTGAAAAAGATATATTTTGTAGTATTGATGAGGAAGAGCACAAGAAGTCACGAAACGATTTCAAGAAATAAAGACAAGAAGAATGTTATCTTAAGCACTTCATTATATTTTGAAATTTGATGTTGAAAGTCTTCTTATGTGGTGGCGTTAGCTACTAACCATCGTGCAAAAATGTTTGCATATTACTGTGTTTAATTATTAATTTTTTGGCCCTCCCTCCCGCCGAAATTCCTAGCTCTGCCACTGCATATGCAGTCAAGCATCTCAATGCTCTCACTCACTGCACATACAAGGATACAAGGACATTAACTGCCATACAATAGATTGCTAGTCTTCATACATCTAACTGACGACTCATTATAGTTTTCTGCAACACTGGGATGATTAGGAATCAAGGATCATTCATTAGACTGGAAAATTGGAATTGTTAAACTACCACAGAAGGTGCATTTTTCTCTCTATGGAAACTAATCTCTCTTTATCTTTATGTGTTCCAGAAGGTCGTCTAGCTCGTATTTCCATTATCAGTTCCAATGTTACAAAAGACACTAGGCAAACTAGGCGTTTGAGCCAGCGCCTAGACGCCTAGGTGGCGCTTAGACGTTTGGCTGTTTTTTAAATTATTTAATTATAATAATCGATAAAAATATGTATTAAATTCAAATAAATTCGCAAAAGAAAAGATAGCAATCTTAGATCCACAATAAATCATGCATTCTTAAATGCTAAATAGCCAAAATAATAACAACAAGATTATAGAAAGTGTTAGGAGGCCTAGGCGTTGGACCCATCGCCTAGAGTCTAAGAGGTTTTCTTTTTTATTTTTTAATTATAATAATTGATAGTAAATGTTAATGTTATAGGAAGATTAGGTGTCAGACTGTTGTTTAGGTAAATTTTTTTCTTCATTTAAATGGTGGTCAAGGAGGTTTTGCTAAGGTCGGAGGAGGTAGTGAAGATATTCATATTTGGAGGTTAAAGGAGTTTGAATGAGGTTGGAGGACGTGGAGGCTGCAGCATAGGAAATCACGATCAAAGCCTAAAGGGTGTAGTCCATGTAAGCAGACAATGCCCTCCTAAACACTCAAAATCTGGTACCGCCTAGGCGTTAGGCGATTAGTTAGGCGGCCTAAGTACCGCCTGGGCCTAGGTGTAAGCCTAGGCGGACTAGGCGGAGGTTTTTTAAAACAGTGATCAGTTCCTTTGTTTCTATATACCCATTGACTAGATTGGAGTTACCACAGTTTCAGAGATCTGGTTTCTTTTGCTTCTGTTTCTGTTCGAATTTTCTCCTCTCCGTTTGATATGCTGCTAGGTGCACAGGGCGTGGAGAGTAGTTGTTTATTTTATTTTTGTCTTTAATAGCTGACCATTACCAGAAAGAATATGATTCAAAGCATATGATCAATTATAGGCCATAAGATTAAGTTAGAACCTGATCTATCTACCTGGATTGTTAATTATACAATCCTTACACCATTCCTTAGACATGCTATAATTGTTTATGTTTATAAGATATTACCCCTCTCTACAAGTCTTGATGGTAGAACCTTTATTCCCTTGGCTACTGATATATCTTGGTTTTTGTTTGAATTTATTTGAGTACTCATGTTCTGCAATGCTTTTGCATATTTAGTGAAAATGAACTGTAACTTTTTATATGGTGGACCGCATGCCAATACTCATATTCTTACATCCTGGAATATCAGTAGTAGAGCTGTATTTTATTTGATCCAGTGGGCAGTGGTCATAAATTGTGTGTTCTTAAAATTCTTCTATTGTGTTTGGTAATCTTGGTTTTCTTTTGGTTTTATGATCTGTATTGTGCTACCCATCAAGATATATACTTCTCTATTCTATAACTATAATTAGTTTCTGTGATGAAAATGTTCACATTTTGTTGGTTCAAATGAGTTGCTTCTGATTCTAGTTTTTTCATAACAGGTAGAAGCTTAGCTCTTAAATATGTGATTTCACTTTTAGTTGCTTGCAGAATTCTTGAGGCATATTTATTGATATATGAGTGTACTAGTTGAAATAGGTAAGTTGATTTTTCTTATCATGATCCCTTTTGCGTTCTTATGCAAACAGGTAGAATGCACACTGTGCAATGAAACAGTGGAACGTGAAGTTTGGTCTTCTCATAAAGGTGAACAATGCCCCCAGAGGATGATTACATGTGAATATTGTGAATTTCCACTGCCTGCTGTTGATCTTTTTAAGCATCAGGTAGCTCTTAATAGTAAAACGAGAACATATCTAGAGTTACTTTACATTCACTCTTGATGTAATTTTTCTGCTCACACATTTCAGGAAATATGTGGAAACCGAACAGAATTGTGTTATAGATGTAACAAGTATGTTAGACTTCGTGAGCGAGATAATCATGACATCCAGTTTCATGGTGATTCAAATGACGAATCAAATAATACTGCAGAGTCTTACAGGTAATTTAAATGTGGTTTTGGCACATTCACATATGCAGAGCAGCGATTTCTCTTAAGTACATACTTTTACATTTGTTCTTAGTTCTTACCCAAAAACTTTTACTACTTTTCTTCATGACGGAACCCATAAGTATGTTGGATAGATTAAGAAAGAGCTTTCTCTTGTTTGTTTTGATGTAATTGGGAAAGGAAATGACAGAAAGACATCTATCCGTTAAGGAAAAGACTAACTGTAGGCCCGAAGACATCTATTACCTATGAAACTAGAGACCCTTTCTCATAATGACGCCGAAAAACATGAAGTAATTTCCTTTCCTCTTTCCACCAATTCCAAGCAAATTTCTGTCCTGATAGCTCAGAATTCACTCACTAAAAAAATTTATGTTTTGCTGACATATTAGTAAATCCCATTTTCAACCCAACAGAATACAAAATGTTAAAAGCTTTTACTTGCCAAAAGAGTTGCAAAGTCATTTCCTCCATTGTCCACTGGTTTTCTTTATCTAAAATGTCTAAATCCTTGATTTTTTTTACTATCATATGAAAATGCCCTTTTTCTTTGTAGCTCTTCAGATTGGTTCGTTGGCCGGACATAATTATTTTGTAATAGAAGTCAAAAGTAGATAGCATTAGGAGTTAGTAAGCTTTGCTGTCATCTATTGTTCTTCTAACTTCCTTTTAGTTCTTTAATTTGCCTCACCAAAAAGATCTACCAAATAGTCATTTTTTCTTCAGTGGGATTCAAATGCGGGACAAGTAGAATAGTGATGGGCTGGTATCCCTCGACAGAGCTGATTGAAAGAGTCAGATTCATGTAGCAATCCTAAAAGTCTGGGTTAAAGGCTTTGTTGTTGTCGGTGTTGTACCAGTTGAATGGTGAAACTGTCAAACTGACTGCTATATGAAGGAACAGACCGTATGATGCAACCCTAGTCAAATTAAGTGTTCATCTTTTGAGTTAAAATCTATACTGAGAAATACCATCTACCATTGTTTTAAAAGCAGTATGGACGTTCGCCTACCATCTACTGAAGGAAAATTTAGAAGTATGTGCAATTCTTTCCTATTTGTATAGGTATATGTACGTACAAAATATATTGTGATATTGGATATGAGTTGCCACCTCATTTTGTGAAACGAGTTAAAATGAGATAGAAATGGATATGAGTTGCCACCTCATTTAGTGAAATGAGTTAAAATGAGATAGAAATGGAGTGCGCACCTTCTGTTCTGAGTCTATCTCTTGTTGTGCACTCTTGTTGTGCATGTCCATAGTGCGCCCGCGTGCAAGTACATACCCGATTATTTTGCTCGCTGCATAGATGTCGACTTCAATTTGGTAGGTCATATTGCCCCGAAGGGATGTTAGCTGTAGAAAATGCTATTTTATATTTTTTTTCGCATTGGTATTTATTTGTTTTTCTGTAAATTGCTGAATAGCTCACTGAAAGACATTTTTTTTTTAAAAACTTTTATTCCTGCAGGGATGGCAGAGGACCAGTGAGAGAAGAAGGCGCTTACAGGAGGCAACCTCGTGATTCACCAAACAAGAGGATATTATTCACAATTGCGCTATCAGGGATTGCTGTTCTTGTTGGATCCTTTTTTATGCAGAGAAGAATAGATACTCAACAAGAACAATAGCTTATGAGCGTTTTGCTACTTGCTCCTGGAAAAAGCGAGGTATCAACTTCATTCTCATACATGGATCTGGGTTATTTATACGTATCATTTGTAATGCTTATCATGTGTAATTATTGCAAACAATATCTCATTGATTGAGGGCAGAAAAACATCTCGAGTTTATTTTCTTAACTAAAGACCAACGTTCATACGGAACGAAACAGTTGCTTTATATATTTGTTTCAAGCTTCTTTATTTGAATGTCTATTATTTTTCGCTCGAGCCCAACCATTGGATGCTCTAGTTCCAAATTAACCCCAGTGAAATAAAGAAAATCAGGGATTCTCAATAATAGAGGCAAAGAGGGGGCATTGCAATATTCATGTATGAATGAATTCTTGTCTGAAGAAATCTAGGTGAATGTTGTCTCGGTTAAGACTGTTCTATTGCATAGCTTACTAGCCGTTACAGTTCGTGAAAGTTAAATGCCATTATTAGTGAGATGGACCATTTTCCTCTTAGGTGGGGAAGGAATCTTCTCCTCTCACTTTTCTAGCCCTTAGATCTTGTGATTAATGCTTTAAGATTAGTGATAAATGATATAAATTATTTAGTTGGGACTATTAAATCCTCAAATATTCACAATATCTCACCTTACCTATTTCTTCAGTTTGCAACTTTCTTATCCTTTGCTTAAACATGTATTCTCCTAATTAATTCCATAGTTAAAGAAATTCTATCATTCATTATCTATCTCTCACTCCTCACCTGTCTAATTTTTATGAAAAAATAACATTAACTTTAATAAAACTCTTTGATCTCTGTTTATATTTACAAAGAAGACGAAGAACATCCTTAATTAATCAAACTTTCTATCTATTTGTATCTTTCTCGCCCATAATCCGTATTCTATCTTTATTGTCGCCAAACCAACATGATGATCAAGAACGGATAAACAAATGTTCATTATTGTTTTTAATATTCTAGTTCCCATTTAGGTAAATTACATTAAACCCCAAAACCTTTCAACATTTTCAAGTAGACAACAAAAAAAATTCCAAATCGCAATAAACCCACAATAACTTCTAGAATTGCAGAAAACCCTCAACAATTTTCCACACTTTTGCAAACAACCCTATAAATTCGAAACAAAAAACAACATAAAAACGTATTTTGCAACTTATTGGTGATTTAGTGCAATTTATCCAAAAGATATTGGAAATTTTCTACAAAAGTTATTAAGGATTTAGCGCAATGTTGAAAGTTATTGGGGTTTACTACAAAACACTGAAAGTTCTTGGGGGTATAATGTGTTATGTCAGCAATTACACCAAGTGTTAATCTCCTAGTGGGAGACGACACGTGTTCTAGGTCAATACTAGTCAACAAATCAAGTCAATCCCCAGCTAGGGCGACTCGAGCATCACAAGCATTCGTCCTTTCCCTAGTAGGTCTGAGTCTCTCACTCAACTTCACCAGCCTAGTTGACCACCCTCATTTCCTTGGAGTCGGGTCGACAACTTGCAAGGCTGACAAGAAAGGCGGTACTTGTCGGCCTACTCACAAAGCCCAGTCGAGAGACGGTTCGTCCTCGAACTCTCCACCAACAGCTGTCCACCATCTTCATGGCTAGTGCTCCTATCCTCTCTAACTCACCACCTATTATCAACGTCACACTCCCTCAATCACCATCATATCCAATCAAGGGTGACTCATCGCACAACCAGTCGACACCTATAAAGTTATTTGCCAACCCAGTTGTCTGCCTAGACTCGAATAGTTACGGATTTACCCTTCTCAGCTAGGTATATATATGGGCTCATCGCCTACTAATTGAGGGTTGATCCGCAAGCCCCCTTCAAGGCCATATGTACGCAACTTATGCACACTTAGACAAATAAATTATTCAGTTTATTGGTTTGTTCTCTACTCAAGCTCAAATACTGACTTAATCGTCAGAGGAGTCATCGGAGAACCCAACTCAGGTCCTCTAATGTGCCTAGTTTGCATCTTGCTCATCTTAAAGAAGGGATCGTTTGCCTAAGGGGTTGGAGGAACCCACATCACAGGTATCAACTCTAAGTCCAATCACTGATTTAGGATTACCTGCTAATCTCGCTGCCGAGTTTTAGGACATCAAAAGTTTGGCGCCCACCGTGGGGCCTCTCCGTCTCTCTTTGATGAACCACCCCTTATATTCGAGCATAGAAGCTGCCATCTCTATTTAAGCTCCATGGTAGTCAAGATCTTGCCATAAGGCTCTCCAAGTGTATTTTGCTTCACAAAACTCTCCAAGGTAACAAATCAAAGATATTATCTCCAAACAATATATTTTTTGTATTATGTACTTATATTAGTCGTCGATGCTCGATCGTCATCAACACCGTCGACTCAAAAGACCTTGGTATTATTTTCATTAGTAAAACCAAGACATGTCATCGATGAAAAGACCTTGGTGCCTATTCAGGGTAAAACCAAGGCATGCCAACAACTCGGTCGACTCCGACTCGAAAGACCTTGGTATCATTGTGATGAGTAAAAAAAGGTATGTCATCGACAAAAAGACCTTGGTACTAATTCAGGGCAAAACCAAGGCACATCAAATCAGTCTACATTGACACAAAGACCTTGACATCTTCCTAAGCCCAATGCATGTACCTCAAGACCCAGGTGTTATCGTGAGTAAACCCAAGGGCACAAAGTCACTTAACTCGCCATACACAGAGCCAAGTCGATTCTCAACAACAAACTCGTACTTAAAGCAGATTGCAAACTCTTATAAACATAAGAACGCGATCTCAAAGGTACTCGGTTCAAATTCACAATTTTAACTTTTATTCATAAGCTTGAAACAATTTACAATGCAAATAAGTGCTAAAAAAGGAGAAAAGATACATTGGGCCCCCTACGGGGTTGGATTTGAGAGACGAGCAGGACTAAGAGGTGTAGGTCGATTGACACCAGAGCCAGGAGCAGGAGTTAGACTCGAAAGAGCATCAATAGTGAAAGTTGGCAGAAGATTCAACTAGACCTCAGCCTCAACCTCTTCACCTCCTCTCCCAGCAAGCGGGCTCACCTAGCTGTCACGAGCTGAGCCCTCGCCTGCCTCCTCAACCGACTCTCCATCCACCTCATCGCCACTCCCTCCATCAAGCGTGAACCCCCTCCCTACTTCTCTATCTCTAGGAGCTCCGTAAGATAGTTAGGCACCCTTGGAGGATAGCAGAATTGGTCGAGATCGCCTTGAAGATCGGCTGTGAGCTACACCTTGAGATAGTCAAAGCCTACCTTGCAAGCTAGCGCCACCTCCATCTTTCCAAGAGCAATGTGGTGATAGCCTTCAATGATCTCGAATAGATGGGCCTCAGACTCTAGATGAGCAAGGCGTCCCTGAAAAGCCTGAATCTCGACGAGGACTACTCGCGCTGTCGCTCGACCTCCAGCGCAGCATGAGTGCTTTCCTCCCTGAGCTTCTTGAGAGCTATGTGCTTCTCTTGCAACTTAGCCCGCAAGCTCTGGGTGGCCAGACGATCCGATCATGCTCGCTCCTGGGCATTAGTCCTCTTCCGCTTCTCAGCGACGACCTCCTCGGATAGATATTTTATCCTATCATTTCGTTTGAGGAGCTCGTGCTTGTTTGCGTCGGGAATAATTTTCATTGCAGCTTCCATTAAAATCATTTATCGTTACAATGGAAATAAAAGAGTGAGCCTTACACTTGTAAAACTTCTCTCTACAAAGAAAACAAAAATTAGGATATTCCCTAGAAACACACACAGAAACTATTTATTAGCCTCTGCTTGTGTGGGATCTTTGCCTATGCCGGGGACGCTCTGATCTATGGACCACCGATTCAACGATCCAAGTTGATCGTGAAGAAGGCTTTGATGTTGATGTTTTGACTTGGAAACAAGAATAAAAGTAAATATCTTAGCAATGTAAGATAAGTACTCTTCCTGATATCAAATCAACGTTTGAAATTGAGGAATCACCAAAGCCTCTTGAGATCTCTTGAAAATAGGTCGTGACTCTCTCTCTCTTGTTCGAAATTCACCAAAATACCAAGTCTATGCTCTCAGATCTACCAAAACCTTCGTCCCGCTCTCCAATCATCAGTCCCTTATGCACAAGGGTGCCAAAGGTTATTTATAGCCCTTGGAAACCATAACTGAAGATAAGAAGTTGAAATAAACCCTAACTGACAACACCTTTAGGCAAGACAGTGTTTGCTATCTCGGCCAAAAGGAGTGGTTCTAGGCAGTTTGTAACAGATGCCCTCTTTGTTAAATGCCGTGATTTTTTGGGATTATGAGCAGATTTTTAGTTTGTAACGGCCTCTCTCTGTTTATGGATATTCCAGAGTACTTGTGGAGCCATGTGGATCGCACGAAACCTGAGAAAACCCGTTAGAAACACGTTACGCTGTCTCACCATTTCTGAGATAGCTATTACTATCTCACTTTCAGAGATAGTCTACACTGTCTCGAAAGTGCGAGACAATGTACATTGTTTTACCAGTTGTGAGATAGTTTCGAGTCCCGTCATTTTGTTGTTTTGCGCGTTCCTTTACTTCTTTTTTTCGCATCGGATGATCTCTTCTGACTTATATGATGACGTTCTTCATCTTCTCTTCGTCTTAAGATTTGTTTGGGACCTATAGACAAATTTTGATGCCTACAGATACCCCCTCCAAAGTTTTCAGCCTCCTCAGTATTTTATCGATGAGTATGGAAAATTTTGGATAAGATAGGCCTTACTTTCAGTCTCCTTAGTATTTTATCAAAGAGACCGCATAGAAGAACCTGTGAATGGCTTCAGTTCTTTGTCTTCTTTAGTTTTTAGTTTACTCAGTATTTTGTCGAGTAGTCTGAAATACTCCTGGTGCTGTGTCATCGCTTGACTATTGTCGAAATCTGAAACTAAAATTGGTGTGTCAATATCTGAATTAGCTCGTGTCATTAAGTTGACATCGAACTGATCATTTTTATTAGAAATTCTTATCTGAATTGCAATTGAACTCCCAGGGATAATTTAGCATAGAATTATCTTGAGCCCAATTTTGGCAAAACTGTTGAAGCGTTGTCGGATGTTGACTTTTGTTTCTGTGTAAACACAGGTTATACTCATACATAGCTGGAGTCTATACAGTTTAAGATCTTAAAGCGTTGGAGCGCGGAGAAGCAGTTTATAGTCATATACTCCTCAGAGTTTAGGGATCAGTTTAACCTTATATACCTGTTGGAGGTTCAAGGAGAAGAAGTTTATACTCGTGTAC